TTATGGTATCACTCAATTCCTGCATATTCCATTCTTGTGATTTCTTAAATTTTTCATAGTCTTTGTTTGAGTGGTCCAGTTCATCCACTTTATCTTCCAGTCTTGATACTCTCTTTTCCATTTCATTCATCCTATTGGTCAGGCTTTCTTCTGTCATTTCTAATTGGCTTACTAAGTTTTTCACTTCCTTCTTCATTTCAGCCCGAGTATTCTTCAATATTTCTAACTCTTTTCTGAATTCATTCAGAAGTTTATCCCTATCTTCCTTCAGTTCTTTGATTTCTTTTTGTGTGTGTTCTTTAAATTCACTGAATTCTTTTATCATGTTTATAATTGTTCTTTTGAGTTCCATGTCCTGCATTATCTCTAGGGGGTTCTCATTGTACTCCTCTAGAGGACTATTGGTATTTGGTGGGGATATGTTATTTTGGTTTTTCATATTTTTTTTTCTCTGTGATTTTGACATATGAATTTCTTTTGTAGTTTCTGATTCTTATTTGAGACTCAGGTCTTTAAGTTTAGGTCTGCTTCTTTTTGTGAACTTTATGTGTCTTTGTGGTTTACTTTTTGGGCATGAAAAGCCAGTTTGTCTAAGCTTCAGTTCTCTCTTTTGATTTTATATTCGAGTGGGCAGATTGCTTTTGTCTTCCCCAGAGGCCCAATTCAGATGAGGGTCAGATGTTTCCAGGCTTTCTCCTAAGGTCTGGATCCCTCCAGGAACAATTTTGGCCTCAGGAATTTGGGGGCTGGACTGGCCTGGGAGTCTGGCCCAGGAAAGATGCTGGTCTCAGGCAGCTGGTGGCCATGTTACCGAAAGATGCAAAGGCAGATCGGGCGGGAACAGGCCCACCGACTCCTGGGGGCTGCACTGAGGAGCTGGGTTGGTCTGGATGCAAAGGATCAGGAAGAGGAAAGGTCAGTCCCTGCATCCCAGAAAGAGGCTGGTGGGTGGTGCCCAAGGAAGCAGAGGTAAGTGAGGGTGGGGCCAGGCCCAGAAGCAGTGCTCCTGGGGTCCAGAGAAGGCACTCCGTTGGCCTGGATGAAAAGGATCAGGAAGCAGTATTGGTTCCCCAGGTGTCTGGGGCCCCAAGACAAGGAATGGGACAGGGCTCACACTCAGAGGAGAGAACTGCCAAGGAGATGGGAGAGTGAATGAGGCTGGGCTAGTCAAGGTGCGGAGGGCACAATGGACTTACCCAGGAGAGAGGCCTGTGGGTAGGAAAGAGGCCTGGGGCGGGTCTTTGAGGCCCAAGGAAGCAGAAGCAAGAGGCAATTTTTAAAAAAAATTAGCTTCAAGTCACCAAATTGTGGGATTATTTGTTAGGCAGTCATAGACACAATAATATTGTTTATATTATTTGTTAATATTTAACTTACATATATCATAAATGTGTATATCTGTTGATTTTAGGACTTTCATTCATTACACTTGGCAGCTTTCCCATGCATGAGCTGTCCATCTGCAGGAACTGTTAATACCTACCTCTCTTATTCCAAGAATATTTGAAAATGAAATCAAATAGTTCTCAATTTAATATACATACATTAGTGTGGTATATGTACATATCCTCATGGATAAGGGCCTTTAAAAGTATATCTATAATACAGTGATATTATACCCAGTATTAATTTCTTAGTATCATCAAATAACCACATCATGTTCAGTTAAGCATTTAGTATTAAAAATGTCCTTTTATAATCGTTTTGTTCAAATAATATTTGATGCTATATCATGATCTTTCTTACCAACTAAAATTCCCTTTCTTGTCTTTATTTTTTGGTGGTGCTGTAAAGGAACCCAGGCTTGCCACTGTGTCTGTAGGCTCTCTTCTTTTCTTTGACTCCTGTTTTGTTGGAGACAGTGTCTCACTCTGTAACCCTGGCTGACCTGGAACTCACTATCTAGATGAGGTTGACCTTTAATTCACAGAGATCCACCTGCCTCTGCCTACAGAATGCTGGGATTAAAGGTGTGTGCCACCATTCCCAGTTTAAGGTCATTTTTTTGGGTGAATAAATTGGACCACTTGTCTCATGAACTTCCTAAATCATATATTTGGCTGATTGAATCCCTCTGGTGACGTTTAACATCTTCCTCTATCCATAATTTCATTTTTTGTAACTGGTAGTTTAGATATAGACATTTAGGGGGTTGGAGAGATGGCTCAGTGTTTAAGAACACTGGTTGATCTTTCAGAGGACCCAGGTTTGATTCCCAGAACCCACATGAGGTTAACAACTGTCCATAACTCCAGTTCTAGGGTATCTGACACCCTCTTCTGACATCCACTGGCATTGTACAACATGGATACACTTACATTCATGCAGGCAATGCACTTATATACATTAAAAATAATAATAAATAATATTTTTTAAAGAAAGAAAAGAAATAGACATTTAGATTCAAGTTCAAAAAACAAACTGGGGCAAGAATACCAGTCTATCTAGAGTTTCTTCTTTAAATATCAGCTCTCCTTCATCTAGCAGTAATCAGCTGCCAATAGTTCTTCAGCTAAAGTTGAGGCCTGCTGCCCATTACCCCAGTTCCATGCTGAGTTTTTGTCTAATTGAGTTTGCATGAGTCTTGTGTATGCTGACACCGTTGCTGTAGGTTCAGATGAGCAAGGTCCCAGGAGCCTATAAGACTGTTTCCATATGGTCATGCCCCTCCTCCCCCAGCTCTTGTGATCTTTCTGCCTCTCTTCCGCAGTGATTCCTGAGCCCTGGGTGGGAGAAGTTCAACATAGGAGGCCTGTCCAAGGAACCACACTCTGCAGACTCTCATTATTCTTTACACTTTGCCCATTTGTGGCCTTTTGTGTTCATCACCCTCTGTTGCATGAGGGAGCTTTGCTGATGAGAGAGATACATTAGTATTCTCTCTACCTCTTGTATCATTATGTTCCACGAACCTTAAATGTAGAGGTTCCATTGTAGAAGTGTCACTTAAAGTTGGGTATCTCACACTTATTCTCTGTGTGTGACCAGTTGTGGAACTCTGTCTCTATTGCAAAAGAAGCTTCTCTGATGGGTGGTGACTGGCATACTTGTCTGTAAGTATAAGGATTCATATTTAGCATACAGTAAGAAATTACATTTGTCTAGGGATGTGACAGACTTAGGGTTTTTTCTAAGCTCTATGACCTCTCTAGCCATCTGTATTTGGCTACGTTTACAGTTCCACACATGAATTCCCTCCCATTGACTGGGCTTTAAGTCCAATTATGTAGCTGTTGATTACCCCCAAGATAAAAGTACCACTACTGCCCCAATATAGTTCGCTGTGCTGATCATTGTTGTGGTTATTAGGCTTTAAAACTGGGGTTGGACCATTGATTTTTCTCCCTTAGGAGATTGCATAGTGTCTTCCAAAACTTTGAGAGCTAGTCTTCAGGGAGGAGGCTTCCAGGTCAGTCCCAGCTCCATTGCTCCAAGTCCTGTGTCTGAAGTATATCCTGTCTTCAGCAATAGATTCAAGTTCTAGGAGCCAATCAAGGGCTATGGCAATAGCCTGTGTAACTTTAGGAGTCTCTTGGACTACCCTGACCAAGAACTTGAAGGGAAGTTTCTCCTGTCTGGCACTATGCTTCTTGTTATACAGCCTTCAACTATCCCAGTGGTTGAACTTGCATTGAGAGACATTTGGGTACACTAACTTGACTCAATAGGCCTTAATATATGTGACAGAATGCATGAAATCTAGTGGAGTGGCTATAGGGGGAGTGCAGATGTGGGAGGGAGTATAAAGATGATTAAGATGTTTTATGTGAATGCACAAAAATCCAATAAAATATGAACATTAAAAAATTTTAAAGAATACTAAATAGTACTATAGCATGTTAAAATACACATTAATGTTTATGTACCTCACTTTTAATGACACTGGTATGATCAGTGGATTCAGACTTTGTTGGCCTAAGTTATCCATCCCACACCCTTCCACCAATAGTTTTAGCAAGTGTAGATGATCATTACCTAGAACAATTATTTCAATTAGGGATGATAAAATTTATTTTTAAGTTTGTTAGTTATTCTTAATAAAGACACCTAGCCTACTTACCCACCACTTGTTTTAAAAATTCTGTACATTTTGAATCATACAAGTCAACTTTTAATTCCTTTGTTGCACTTTCCACATTTGTGACTTTGTATCCTCTGGCACCTGTCCTGTGCTACTCTCTGAGCTTTCCTCTGCAGGGTGGTAAGCTGTGGGAGGAACCCACAGGCATTCTGTAGCACTCATGTCCAGCATAGCACTCTCAATACAGCAAGTGTGTAAGAAATGAGCCATGTGCTTTGATTAGGCGGCTATTGAGACTTACGCAAAGATTCCATAATGAAGCGCACACACATACACATTATGCCACAAATTTATTATAATAACAGCAAAGAACAAACCCAACATTCATAATTTCCACAGTTTTCCAGTCTTTACAAAGTTGACAGAAATAAGAGATAACAGAACTATGTTTAGTTCTTGTCAAGAAACTCCAGTGGACTTTCATATGAACATTTGAAAATTGCCCTATTCTGACTCTTTTCTAGTTCCCTGTCTAGAACTTGTAATGCTAATTACTCTTGCCTTTACTTCTCTTTCACATCTCCCATTCGTGATTCAAGGACTTTCTTCTTCCCTTAGAGACAAGAGTCATGCAATTTGGGAGTCTTTTAGACTCCAATTGCCTCACCCTGCATCCCCGTTCAGCATGGAAGAAGACAAAGTGGTTGGCGTCCCTATTCCCTATTGGCAATTTGGGTAACCCCTTCAGAGGATGGTGTGATAAGGAGGTAGGAATTGGCTAGGCAGTTAGGGTAAAAAGACCCCAAAGAAATGTAGCCAGTTTCTTAGCTAAAAGTCAAAATGTCCTTGGGCCTCTTAGCAATATACTCTGTTCCAAAGGCCAAAAATGTCAAAAGTATTTGGGAGCTTGTATCTAATCCTTAAAAGATTTTAGGGTTACCTCTTCAGAGGTGGGAATGTTGGAGGGGAGGGAGTGGGCATGGATTTGATCAAAACATCTTATATACATGTATGAAATTCTCAATAAAGATTTTGTAAAAATTTAAAAAAAAACATGAAGAGATCACAAAAAAAGATAACTGAGGAACACAAACTCATAATTATCTTAGTTATAAAACAATGTAGTACAATCAATTTAGAACCTTCTTTAAGAATGAAAACAAAAATGGCAATAGCCCATAGATACTTACAAATTTGTATTTGTATTTTTGATAAACATATAGGTCCTCAAGGACTCATAGAACATTATGTAATAAACTATATTTAGTAGCTAGTTTTTTTGCTTATTAGGCAAGCACATTCAAAGGCAAGAAAATACTGAAAAGTAGGAATAAAACCCCAATAGAAACTATTTGACCTCAAGTGACATGCATTTTGATCTACTGAGGTTTCCATGGGGATATATCTGCCATCTGTGAGCACCCCACTTTTATTCATGTAATCGAGAATGTGGTGTTTCACACGTTGCTGCTAGTTCACAAGCATGTCAAACATTTTGAAGACTTGGGGGAAGTTAGGAGAGGGTGTATGATACAATAAACCAAACTTTCCTGTTTTAGCTTATATTTTTCTGCCTTTTGGTCTCTGCCCTACTTGGGTCTTTGAGAATTGCTTGTGTATGTAACAGCATCTACCATACCATTTCATCTTAACACAAGCTGGACATACAGAGTCAAAACAGGAAAGCAAGGATTTCTGAGACCTTCACAGTGGCATAGACTAGAGCAGCTGTTTCCTTCAGCCCTGTCTGCCCATTGTTTACTTTTTTAATAGGAAATTCCTTCTATTTATCAATCCTCAGCTTCTCATATTGTAAACAAGTAAGACTACTAAAGGTCATTTAGTAGCAAATAACCTTATAAATTAGGTAAATGTGAAGACAAAGCCATGATGCAGAGCAATGGGTTAGGAGAGAGCTGTCAAACCAGAGTCTGTAGTCAATGAAAACTTGGGCTTTGATGTATGAGTTTCACTGTGTATTGTACAATAACTGAAGCCATCAGTACCAATTCTGAAGTTCATCACACATGAATAGTCCTTTAAAAGAGGAAAAAGAAATAATATGGACAGCTTCACAAATGTCCAAATATTGCCAAGTAGTTCTGGTTCTCCAGTGAGAAAACATGAGGACAAGAAAATTCCAGAAAGTAGCACTGAAAAAAATCCAACCTTATGCCACATGACTGTCAGCCCTTCATTTTATGGTATATAGGTCTGACCAAAAAGAAATCCTAGTTAATTCATGATTCTGGAGAATACGTTTTCATGTAGTGTATCTACAACATCAAATATATATGACATATATAGTGTAATCTCTTTGTCTCTCAGAGTGGGAAGGCCCTTGTTTCTAAAACCCACCTCCAATTACTTCATAAGCCACTTTGCAGAGTAGATATCCAAAAATAGATTTATGATTCAAAGGTACCTGAAGTCCACTAATCACATGAATATTTAAGTGTTTAACCAATACATTCTTAAGCAAGATAATCCTTTAAGCCATGACACCATCAGAAAGTGACATCATATCACAACAGCCAACAGTTTTCCCACTGACCGGCACAGTACTGTTTTTAACATTTTACTTTCCAGATAAACACAAAGTTAATTATAAAACAGTAATTAACAATGTGTTCATTGGGTGTTCATTAACCTACTGAAAAAGTCATCTTGTTTGTAGAGTAACATCACCTTTACCTTAGTGTTAAGGGCAACAGTGTGGTAACCAAAAGCACCATTGACTTCGACCAGTTTATACATCTTGTAATCAACAGAATGGATGGCAGCTACTCAAAAGTTCTATTAATACTATCATTAACAATTTAGAATGAGAACTCATCAAAAATCCACTTAATGTTCACCAATGATAGCACTTTAGAATGGGGAGTGAACTCTAGAGTAAATATGATGTCTTCTGAACACAATAAATGAGTGACAGAGCCAGAGTCCAGAGTTAGAGGTTTCCAGGCCACTCAGAAGGAATCTATTGTACTCCATGGATCTCCATCCATGCTCAAAATACCTAGTATTTTTCATCTATACTGGACTTCCTTGAGGAGTACCATATTATTTCGTAGCTTTCTTTCATTGTAGCAAAATGTGTTAAATCCTCTGATTAGTTTGAAAGAACTAGAAAGCCAATGGCTGCTCCAGGCTCTTAGATTCAGAAGACTTATCTGGGGGCTTTGGACTTTCAAAGATCAGAAACCCCAATAACTTATCATAAAAATACAAGCTCTTGGATTTGAAAAATATACAAAATGCACTGCATAGGTAAATATCTCTTGATTGTCAAGGAAGATAACAGTTTCATTTGTAAATTCACGTTGTGCTTGTACTTTAGTGATGCTTAGCTTTATAATTTACGGTTTTGGGCAGTCTCTGACCCTTGGTGTAAGCTCGGTACCAGAAATGGAGAAAGAGTAGCAGAAAGATGAATCCATAACTCAGAATAATGTATAGGAAGATTGGATACTGGTACTTGCAATCCTCCATGAAAATGATCTGGCTTGTGTGGATGGTGACAATGACAAACTGGACCTGAAAAATGGAAGAGTGAAAAAAGTTCATATATGAAGTGAGCAATTCTCTGCCTACTTATGTTTATCAGCTCTTCACCATGTCTAGGTTACGGCTGGGTAGGGAAGTTCTTCTTTAAACCTGGCCTCTCTAGAAGTGAGAATGGGTTAGGTATGGTGTCAAAATCCAGATGGGAGTTTAGAGCCACTCTTCAGTCCTGACATACTGCATAGCTCCAGTAGATCTTCCTTAAGTGTTCCCTGGAGTGTGCAAGTAGCAACATGCACCCAACAAGGCAGGTTTTCTGTGGAGGCTCAAGGACTTGAGCCCTTGGTTCTGATAAAATGTATCTGGGATCACTACATTGTAATCTAATTTTCCAGGGCAGTTTTGATTTCAAACATTCTGTCCTCTCTTAAACTAGGTATTTTAAGTCTTAGAAAATAAGAACATTCAAATTAGAGCCTTTCTAATTTTGTAGGAGCCAAAGCATCCCGAGCCCTCCTATCGGCCAGGTGTCCTTCACCATCATAGATAAAACTAGTCTTAGGAAGAAGCTGGGCATTGTAGGACATACTTGTTATCCCAGCTACCTGAAAGGCTGAGGTGGAAGGATCATTTAAGCTCATGAGTTTAAAGTCAAGTGAGTAACAGTAAGATTTCATCTCCAGTGGGGGGAAAAAAAAGGGAAAAAGAAAGGAAAAAAAAACTGTCCCAGCTGGCAAGTAGGAGCAAGGAGAGAGAGGGTACCTGCTGGCCTCCCATGGAGGCTCAAAGGCTCTGTGCATGGAAGAGGAAACATACTCAGAATAAGGAGCTTCTCTGCTAATGCCCAGATTTGGGTGGGGTTGTTATCTTTTCTGACATTTATCTATGTCAGATCCTGGCACCATGGTATGCCTGTGAGGGACAGAGATTGGTTTTCCTCTTCCACTGTGTAGACTTCAGGAATTGAGCTCAGGTCATCAGGCTTGGTGGCAAATGCCTTTATCCACTGAGCCATCTCATCAGAGCCCTGGTGTTCTTAAAAAATCATTTCATGGCTGGGTGTGGTGGTGCACACCTTTAATCCCAGCACTCGGGAGGCAGAGGCAGGCGGATCTCTGTGAGTTCAAGGCCAGCCTGGTCTACTTTAAGTGAGTTCCAGGACAGCTGGGGCTACAGGGAGACCCTGTCTCAAAAAGACCAAAAAAAAAAAAAAAATCATTTCATTATTTCATATATTTACTTAACATTTTTATTTTATTATTTCATGTTTTGCCTCCATGGATGTAAGTGCACCCATGCTGTACAATGCCCACAGAGGACAGAAGAGGGTACTAGATCCCCTGGAACTGGAGTTATGGGAAATGAACCTCGGTCTTCTGCAAAAGCAATCAGTGCTCTTAACTCTCTGGCCCACTGGTGATTTTTTTTTTCTTACACCTGAATAAAAGTATGTTCTGGGAAATAAATCTCTATGAAGAAGTAACATCCACAAGCTATCTAGGAATAGCTATGGTTAAAATTCTCACATTGTTTTTTAGTATAATTTTATTGCTACTAGCAACTTTCATTGCAGCATCTTAGTGAACTTTTATGCTTTCCTGTCCAGTAGCTCCTATTATTCCATTCATCTCCAAGAAAAGAATGAAAGCCTTGGAAAGATGAAGCAATCCCTCCATATCCTGTACACACATGTGCATGTGTATGCCTGGGAATACTGGTGAACAGGTGCCTAGCCTTTTCTATACGCAAAATTTTCCACTTTATGGGAATTTTTGTTTGTTTTTTGTAATAAGGTCTTATGGAGTACAGGCTGGCCTTGAACTCCTTATGTAGCCAAGTATGACCTTGAACTCCTGATCCTCCTGCCTCTACCTCCCAAGTGCTGGGACCACAGGTGTGCACCACTATGCCTGGATCACTTCATTAAAAATATTTCCTGTGCTAGATGTAGTGGCGCACACCTTTAATCCCAGCACTTGGGAGGAAGAGGCAGGTGGAGCTCTACTGAATGAGATCAAAATTAAAACTATATGCCAGCATGATGGAATTGTATGTATGTATGTATGATTATGGTACTGAGCTAAGTAGCTGTGTGAGCTAAGCAAACACATCTCCATTGAACTATACCCACAGCCCAGTTTTTCTTTCTGTCTGCTTAATTAGGTGTTCTAATCTCTTTGCAATGAGCACATATTACTTCACAATGAGAAAAATATTTTAAAGAAAGCACCAATGGAGAATAATTTTCATGACTCTGCAGTATTCCAAAGACGAGTAACATAAAAACTATGAATTAAAATATTTATTTCACTACCTTCTTACATTAATCATTGAGATTGTTGCCAACTTCAGATACAATATATTATTTTGCTAAGATATATTCTAATCTTGACTGAGGATCTTATAGGTTAAGCATCAACCTCTCGCCTTTATAGAAATATAATAAATTCCATTTAGCAAGTTTTAGGACTTTAATAAAACCTCCTGGAGAGGCCAGTTGCACCTTCATCCATACTTTCTGCCTGATATCACTGGCAGAATCCGCTATCCAACTTACTATATATTTCAACTCAGAAAATAAAAGAATGACAAAATTCTTTTTTTTTTTTTTTTTCTTTCAGCAGGATAGACTTTTATTTTGCATGGGACACATTCCCTTCAGGGAAGGGAAAATGTCTGCCTTTATAGGGGCTGCTTTGGGGGGTGCAGGAGGCACGAAGTTCTTTTAGAAAAAATGGGGGGTGGCAAGAAAGTGGGACTTGTAAAACCTGCCCTCTTTAGAGATCAAAGGGGAAGCCTGCTGTGTTCGCCAAACAGTGGAGAAAAGTCTGCTTCTCTTGACTTTAAAAAAAAAAATTGTTTATTATTTTTATTTTATGTGTATGCATGTATTGCCTGCATGTACATAAGTGCATCCATGTCATGCAATGCCCATGGAGGTCAGATGAGGCTGTTGGATCCTCTGGGACTGGAATTATGGACAGTTGTTAGCTGCCATGTGGGTGCTGGGATTTGAACCCAGGTCTTCTGCAAGAACAACTAATGTTCCCAACCACTGAGCCATCTCTCCAGCCCCCCAGAATTCTTTTAAATAGAAGGTAATACAATTAAAGAAAGTTATTTTATGCTCACAGTTACTCTTTAAGAAAATTATGAGCCATATATTTTTAGGATTAATTTTTAGGTTTTATTTGTTCTAACCTGAATGCCCCTAATCTTTTAAACACTATTTACTTGAGGGAAGTATCCAAATTTATGTAATGCATATAGTCATACACTATATCTTTAGTCCTCAAAAAAAATTTTTTTATGAGAGGAAAGATACACTGACTGATCAAAGTTTGGACTAAATAGGTAAGCACACTGGAATGCCCACATTCCCTCAAAGTTACAACCCCTTAATGCTATGTAGAGATAGAACACAGAGCTTCTAAATTCTAATCTAGTTTTATGCTCATTTATGGTCATGTAATTGAGATTATTTTGATCATATACAGATCTTCTGATAAGTGTATATAAGATCATAGATAAAGATTCTGGCTTAGTTGTTTGAAACTCTTAGCCACCAAATATGTTTGTTTTTAATAGAGAGTGTGACAAAGTTCAGATGACAAAGAAACAATGACAGCATATCACTGGGGAAGGCACTGTGCCTCTACTGTTTTATAGACTTTGTGCTTGATTATTTAGTATCCCAATTCACAGAAAGAAAAATGACTCTGTTTTCATTTCATATCTCAAGAATACTAATTACTCACAAGCTGTAAAGACGTCAAATGTTTTTTCCACCATAAATACTTCTGGTAGGCTGGTCCCAGTGCACACAGTCCATAGTAGGAATACATGACCACGTGCACGCCTGTATTTACAAAGGCATGGAATGTTCCCAAACCACCTGAAGGAAAAAAAATGTTATTGTAAATAGGACAATTGTGCCTTAAAATTAGACACGTTTGTCTTAAGATTTCAGTATAACCATTTCTTGAAATTTTAGTAGGAAGAAAGAAAATATATAAGAAATATCAATTTTGTGAAATAGCATCAAACTAGAGAGTTCAATAAAACATTTAGAAAATGCAAAACAGAAATCTTACAAAATTAGCATGTCATTATGTTACGATGGTCCTCTGATTTGGGTTTACTTAAAAAAAAACTAAGTTATCTCTCAAATATGGTACATGGCTTAATAATAATTGAAATGTATTTCACTGAAGGGTAACATTAACAAAGTGCACTAATCCTAAATGTACAACTTAAGATTTTTCAATACATACAACCTCCTTATTTATACAACTATCACCAAAATCAGGATACAGAATATCCTCAGTACCTCTAGAGATTCCTGTGTGCCCTTCCGCGAATATACCCCTCCAAGGTAACCTTTATTCAATTTTTTTATTTTTTGGTTTTTTTTTTTGAGACAGGGTCTTCCCAGTAGCCCCAGCTGGCCTGGAACTCACTATGTAGACCAGGCTGCCTTTGAACTCACAGAGATCCACCTGCCTCTGCCTCCTGAGTGCTGGGATTAAAGGGATGCATCACCACGACCGACTCCTCTATTCAGTTTTTATCAGTCATCAACTATTAATTTTTCTAGGTATTTTTCACATATATGGAGCCACACAGCAAGAACTCTTTTGTACCTGCCTTTTGGTCAATATATGGTTCTGAATTTCTTGCATGTTGATGTGCATACTAATATTTATTCTTTTTCCTGTTGTGTAGTTTTATGTATGTCATATGAATGCATCAATATTTAAGTATTCTCCTGTTGAAAGACGTTTAGGTTGCTTCCAATTTGGGCTATCATGAATAAAGCTACAAAGATTACTTTATGTCATTATGTGGAATCCATTTTATTTTCTCCACTCTCAGTAATATGCATCAGTTATTTTTTTCATACCACAAAATTTCTGGCAGGAAAACCACTGTCTGTGATTAGTAAGCTATGTTACATTTGCTTAAATCAATTATTGTTTTCCCAAATTAAATATCTACTGACTGTTAAACCACCCTCTTTTTTCACTGTTTCTATTTGATTATGTTTTCCTATCTTGGTTTTCCTCTTTTAATTTCACCATTTTAATTAAGAAGAAATGCAAAAAACACAAGAATATAAGAAAAAATCGTTTCAATTGCCTTCAGCTGTAACAGTCATCAGTGGATGGGATGGCAGGGTGCTTAGCTGATGGTGGAAGGGGAAAAAAACTTCAAACCCAGCTCTAGGGTCTCTGTCCTAAGAGACACAATCTACAGCAATCTGCATTATGCACACTCTGACTCGGAAGTACAGGCTTGGAATGGCACAAGTGTGAAGCCAGAGGACAATGTTCAGGAGTGGGTTCTGGGGATCCAGCTCAGGTCACCAGTCATGGCCTTGTTGACAACTGCCTTTACCTACTAAGCCATCTCATCAGCCCATAGAAACCAATTATGTTTTAATAATTATTCTAGATGTTTCTAGATACTGCTATTGCTAAAGTAGTCCCTTCAAAGAACAAACTTTGAATAATTAGCTATATATTCCCCAATGCCTCATGCTACACTCTATGAACTTTCTGAGGGGAGTAAATCAAATTTCACTTAATTCCTTAATTACCACTAATTTCAGAAGTAACAAAATTATGAATTCTGTGAAGATCCTGTTTTACTACTTACATTCAGATTAGTCTTTTTACCCCAAAGAAACCTGATTATAGTGGTTAAAAAAAAAATCTCTTTACAGGGTAACTTGAGACTAGAGTAGCTGTCTACTTGCAATAGCTTGGGGAAGACTGCTTCACAAGAGGATAAGGGAAAGGGAAGATCTCTCAAGTTCATTTGTGTCCAGTGATAATACACACAGGAAGTACAGCTTACCTAAGAGGCTGCAGTTGAGCTTTCCTCACCAAGACATTGCTTTCTCTCATTACTTAGTGTCCATTTCCTCTATTCTACCCTAACTGTTCAAATGTCCTAAAAGGAGGATCCTGTAACCGGGATTAACAAAACATGAATGCAGCTAAGAGTGTTGAATAAGAGTTACTGAGCAAATAAGCTGCCAAATGAAATTAACTTGCTTATTTACTGATGGCTTTCTGAGAAGTTACTTTAATAACAATCACATTATAATAATGCTTTTTACTTTACACTTTGGAAGGCTTTTCAAATCAAGAATTGATTTCTTTGCAAGAATGGGCCTAAAAAGCAAACATCTCAGAACAAATTATAATTAGTGCCATCACATTTTACCCCTTTGGTTTGGAGGAAATAAAAGGATCACCTGGGTTATTACCATAATTCTCCACATTTCTCAAAGGAGACCTTTACATAATATTAAACCTACCACAGAAATATTTTCATCTTATTCAAAAGAGAGCTGGAATGCTATCATTCCAGAAAAGTTTACAAGCGACAACAGGAAATTAAACACTAGATAGAGATCAGCTGTACTCAAGTTTTTGAAAAGAACAGTTCAAACAGATAGTCTTGTCATAGGAACACAGCCTGTGCCAAACCACACTTCTGGAAACAGCTCTTGTTGCTGGGCCTGTGACTAAAAAGGTGGCAAGGGAACCCACAGGTATGCTTACTCCACAGGTAAGACCCAACAGGACTGCCAACTCATAGACACACCATAAACAAGAAAATATTCTTTTTAACCTTGAACATTTTGTAAAGACAAGGGAAACTAAGGTATGGATAAGGAGACTATGATAAAGTGATTGTGATCCACAGACATGGTAACATTGAAAAGCTGAGGTAGTGCCTATATTTAAATCTGCATTTTAAAGAATTGCTTGTTTCAGAATAGAAGCTAGACCATCAATGGATTCTAAAAAAAGGTGAGGAAAACACCCAACTCCAGTCTTTAAATAAGTTCCCCATTGTAGAACTACCAGATATTCAGTACAAAAAACTGGAGAACACAGAGAAGGATAAAAGCAGAGGGAAAACACTTGTTGTTTTGGTATCTCCAAATAACTTACTATTTTGGAGCACTGCTTTCCAATGTTTTCTCTATTCCTATTTATTTTTCAGAGTTTATACTGTAAATAAGCTTAACTCTTGTGACCTAAATAAGCCCTTCCTTTCTTTTGACCCAGAATAATGTGTGTACATTATGAGACTATCAAGTGCTGCAAACAGATTCACTGAAAGCAACTGATCATCCCATTTGCTTTGCAAACAGGTGGGATTAGATTGATGGCATCTGTTTGTGGTTGTGTGTGCTGTTCTAGGTGAGTAGGGATCAGAAAGGGAAAGTCCCCAATAAGAAGGTTCCACTTTTCCTTCCCCATTTCATGCTGAATGTACACTTCCAATAAATAGAGAGCAAAGCCTTGGTTTGGGAACACAGTACCAGGAGAAACCTGAAGGAACAAGTTCTCAAAACAGTTTGGGCCCCAATCTTGATTTAAATAGATGCTAAGAGTCAGGCTGCTTTTGTTCAGGCATTGCTGTAATGTGGCACTGTACCACCATACCTGCTGATACCAAAGTCTGTGGATATTCAAAGTCCCTTATGGAAAATGACATATTATTTCCATATAGCCTCTGTACACACACCCATACACTTTATAATATCAAACAATGAAAATGTTATGTAAATAGTTCTATAGTAGATTGTCTAACATCATTAGGACATAATGACAAGGAAAATGTCAGTACATGTGTTAGTACATATGCAATTTTTCTTTCTTGTTTTTGATCTATGGTTGGTTGAATCCATGGATACAGAGCTCACAGATATGGAAGCCCAACTGTACTCTGGTCTCATGGAAGAAAGTAAAATAAATAAATTCAAGGGTGTAAACATCTTTACTATCATCTTGAAAAAATACAATAGTCATCTTTTTCTGATAATTAGGAGTCAAGCTGCTTATGTGGAGTTTTCCTAAATGCTTCTCAAAATCATTTTCATTTCATGACTTTAAGCACATAAGAAATCATAACCACTCCATTGTGTTTAAGCATTTTCTGGTTTTTATAAACACAAATAAGGTATCAATGTATATCATTTAAGAGAACTAATATGTATGTGATAGAAAACAAAAATTAAAAGTTCAGATGAGTTAAAATAATGAAGATCAAATGCTGTGTTATTAAATATCTACAAAGATTAAATACCTCTGATTTGGAAGACAGACACATCTGACCATTCTGGTATGTGAGTTACGTTTTTGCACTAACATATATCATGAGAAAAATTATCTACATATCTATACTAACTTTAAAAATTCTTCAACAGATAAATGTCAATTTGGGGTAATTTATTGGGAAATCTCATACCCATGCGCCCTGGTAGAAATAACCCTTTTCCCACAGCTCTCAGCCCCCATGGCTCTTGTAGCTTCCACATCACCTTCTTGCCACTAGCCTGTCCATGTCTTCCCCTGTTCTGAGACATACAGATTCTCCCCTTCCCCCACACACACACACACACACACACACACACACACACACACACACTCACACGTCATGGAAAGAGTTCACCAACTGTGGTTCTTCTTTTCTTATAGTCTAACAAAGTCAGAATACCTGAGACAAGCCATCCACAGAAATTTTAAAGCATTGCTGAATGTAAGCTTTGGGAGTACTTGGAAACTTCTTGAATTTAAGAGAGTAGAATAAGTAATTACTCCAACCAAAATTTGGTCATCTATGTGTTTAAAGATACTACTTATTTAAAACTTTATAATGGGAAAAAATTACTTCCCACTTTCCCAATTCTAATGTTAAAATGAAACAAACACTGTTAGTTAAGCTTTTGAAATGAACTGTGTTTGATCTGAAAAACAGCAGCAAAACATTCTTTCATATGGGAGCATGGTTTGGAAAGATGAGCAACTGATTTGATGCATCTTTAGAGTTGTTGAAGCTGGTATGTGCTACTGCTTAGATGTGGCTTGTTCACAGAAATTCACGTGCTAAAGTTTTGTCTCTAATGTAGGTGGACCTAGTGGGAGGCCATTAGGACACAACCATTTCTGGTAAAAGAGTTGATGATGGTCTCATAGCTAAAGGGTTAGATTTTGCAGGAGTGGATTGGTTCTCTCCAAAGCAAGTTGTTATAATGGAGTAGGAGTAGGTCGGGACTTTCCCTAGTCTCTAGCTTCCTCTCTTGCCACACTCCACCTCCTCCCTGACCTCCTGCTATGATGATATTGGTCATAACATTACACTGTTAAGCCTTTACCAGAGGCCATATAGATGAGGTTGCCTGATTTTGGACTTTCAGACTCCAAAACCATGACATAAACAGACCTCTTTTCCTTGTAAATTAAACAACCTCTGGCGCTCTGTCAACACAAAATGAACTAAGACAGGGTATATGTCAGGTATTAGTAATTTGAAGACAAAACAAGGAAATTAAGATAATAGTCTGTCTTCTGAGGAACAAAGGATATTATTTAACTAGATATCTGTGAAGCCAAGGCTTTCACTATTTTATCTATTTGTTACTTATTTAATTGAAGACATGCAATAGAACTTTGTGGGAAAACAATAAAATATACATGAAATTAAAGAATACATATAGACTGCCTTGCTCAAAACTCATTTGTGTCTGGAGTTGGGGTGGGGAATCTAAGAGTCCTATGTTTGTATTTCAGGTGATAATTTGAAAGTCAGAAGTTTAAGCAAAGTGACTCTTCAATTTTTTAAAATTTCTCGTAAATTACATTTAAGGACAGAGTTTGTTTTTGTAGCACACAGAAATGTTATCATTTATATATCACATGATCCCGGCTCTCCCTTTTCTACCTGCTGCAAATTTGACTCCAAACCACCAGGTCCATGGCATGATTGTGTGATGGAAGACATGAAGGAAAGTCACTTGGCTATTTTTCTTACGCAGAACAAAAAAGATCTGAAATAATTTAAAGAAAATCAAGTTCATAAAAATCATGCAATAACTTATTGTTACAAAAATATTGGCAAAGAGAAAACTATTACATCATAATTTGCTTTGAATGGCTGCTTTAAAGGATGCTGACAGAAGCAGCTGATTCTTCAAGGGTCAACTCCAAAGCTAAACAGCATGAAGGAACTTGGGTATAATAGATAATCATGACAGAACCAATAAGGTGAATTTTATGCAGATTTAAAAATCAAGCATATAAAATGAAAACTCTGGCCAAAAATCATGGAAAGAAATGCTTTTTAAAAAAAAACTCATTAAATTTTGAACTATGTGACAGCCAGAAGTCGATAATTCTTAGGACTAAAATATTTCATTCTGAATTGTTCTCTAACACATCCTATCAATTTGGAAAAGGGATTAGGCAAACAGAAAGTAGACTTGCAAAAAATCAAGTTAAGAATTTATTATTAAAAGGAAAAGAAATGGGGAAAATCTTGAAGAGTTAATTTGAAAAATAAAGCAAAGCTGCATAAGAAAAATGAGAAGGGCACAGAAGGTACCACGGAGATTGCACATCCCAGTGGCTTGTAGCTGGACAAACAAGTGGAAGTGGGGTGGGAAGGATGGTTAAAGAATGTTCCACAGAAAAATTCACAGTAGCAAAGTTAGACTTTCAAATTCAGGATAGAGTAACACAAAGTGTTACTGTAACAGGAATACTTGGGAAATGTAGTTAAAGGAAGGACACAGAGGCAGAAACAATTTCCTTCTGGAAGTTGCTACTGAGAACATGCAAAGCAGAGTCAATGAAGCCAAACGCATTTACTTATGCACATGGAAGAACGCAGCCTGGTGTAACAGAAAAAGGCATAAACGAACAGTAGGGGTCCTAGTCTCTGAGGCAGCACTTCTCTGGGTAAGGCACTTCACTTTTTTTTCTTTTTTTTTTTTTCCTGAGTGAGGATTCTGGAGTAGATGATGGTTTCCAATCCTGACTACATATTACAATACGAAAGAATATTTTTAAATACCCATGTGTGGTCTCCAGACCATTAGGCATCAAATCACAAAAGATAGGGCCTACGTTAATTTTTCTTCCTAATGCAATTAATTTTATTGTATCATAAAGGCTGAGAATCATTTGTCTAAGGCAAGTAGCTTCTCAACCTGTGCTTCCTGAGTAAGCAGCATTAGCAACACCTGGGAACCGAGTAGAAAAGCAAACTCCTATGCTCTATCCAGGGCTTATTGAATCAGAAGCACTGGAGGTGGGATCTCAGTCAATTTTGATACTTTAATAAGCCCTCCATGAATTTTTTTTCTTGTTTGAGACAAGAGTTTTCTATGTAATCCAGGCTGGCCTCCAGTTTGTGATCCTCCTGCCTCAGCCTCCTGAGTGCTGGGAGTCTTCTAGGTGACTTTAATACATGCTAAAGTTTAAGAAGTCCTAATTCTAAATGCACCAAGGTACTCTTCTTGTTCTAACATTATGTAATTAGCCAACTGAGAGGGTAAAGTGTGCTGGTATTTCCTACAGGAAGCATGGTGCTGAATGTTTCCAAGCCAGAACAGCTTTCCTGTGCTTACCTTGCTCTCTGTTTCTGCTTTCATGGCACATTATACCTGACACTTGCTTCTTCCAGTCATTGAAGAACAGCAGCTGCAGATAGTTTCTGTGTTCTCCAAATGAATGATAACCCATAGTATCATATCCTAGTATACATGACTTCTGAAGTACTCAGCTTCTTAAAGGAGTATGGATAACAGAACGCTTTGGTAGAAGGAACCAATAGTCTCTGCTCTTCGCTTCCTGAACTTCCTTTATAAAAGAACTGTCATCATCTACATAAAGATGCACAGTTTTATAGTATAAGCAAGTTACCTGCTTATCTTACTCAGGTACTATCCACATATTTTTAAAAAACACTTAGGATCTGTGAAATATTGGAGAGGAAGCTTATCCTATCTAGTTTCTAAAAGCGCAGATAATTAAAGAAAAAAGAGGCAACAGTAGGTTGGACTGAGGAGGAGAGAGATAATGGAAGTTAAGAGACAACTACACTGTAGCAGTTTATTGCTTTCAAAAGTGAAACATCAAACATTTGCCAAATGTGGTGACCACATACTCACAGTGTCTAACAGCTCAATAAATTTTGAGAAGTAATAAAGCCAGCAGGCGTGTACCATCTGTGGAAATATACACAGATAAGAATTTATTTGATATTTTATACAGATAAAGAAGTTTACTTTAAAAATTGGTTTAAAAAAAGCATAACAAAATCAAAATCTATGCTCCTAACCAGTTATTTAAGGTACAGTTCAGTGGCACTAACTTCATTTACATACCATCACTACCATCCTGCCACAGAACTCTTTCACCTTGGGAAACAGAAACTCTATGACCATTCAAACATGACTTTCCATCCCCTTCCCTCTCTCAGCCACCATTCCACCTTCTGTCTCTATGCACTTGACTATTCTACATATATTGTGTAAGCTGAATCATGTAGTATTTGTTCTTTTGTGACTGGAATATACCTGTTAGCACACTGTTAGCTCAAGGTTCATCCAAGTTGTAGCATAAGTAAGAATTTCTCCCCTTTTACATGCTGAATGGTATGCTACTTTACCCCCCCAAACACACATTTAACCATTCATCATCCATAGGCACTTGTGTTGCTTTTGTTATGAATAGCAGTGTTGTGATCATGAATGTACAAATGAGTTGTCGAGTCTATGACTTCAACCCTTTAGGAATTCAGCCAAACGAGAATTGCGAGAGTTTATGGAAATTCTACTTTTCATTTTTTTCAGAAAACCCAAGAAATTTAAAAAGCACTAGCTTTCATTTTATTGAAAACTATATACCTGCCTTTTTTGATTCTTATAATTTTCAGCTTTTTCTCCCAACATATACAATCTAATAATTGAGTCATTCACTTATTCTGAATTAATATCCAATATTGTAAACAGAGTCCAAAAAAGTTTTCACAGTGATTTTTGAATTATAGGTTTTTCCAAAGGAAAACTTACCCTCATAGCTCTTGGTGACTGAGAATAGTCAATAATGTCACATTGAAATGAATAACCTGTACCCCAGCCAGACATCACAAACTGGAAGAGAAACAGCATATTAAAGAAGGAAGTACTTGTTGACAGTTTCAACAAAGTCAGTTTTGACTGCACCTCCTTACATGGCCAGCTGAGCAAGCAGGCAGGGCAGGGAAGAGGGAGAGAAGCTCTACAAGGTCAACACTCTTTATGGAAAAGCTTGGCAAAAACATCTTTAAAACCATAAAATTATAGATTGTTTCTAGAAACTTTATTCTGACTAATTTGTCCATTTATGGGATGATTCCTTTAAAATAGTATAGAACAAAACCTTGAGTCTTTTGCTTAATTAGCAAATATTGTGAGGTAATTATCTTATGTACATTGCACGTGTGTTCATGTACTTTTAAAGGGAATGCCTGTCTCTGAATAGTTGTTTTTGGACATTGCAAATCTTTCCAATTAATAAATAAATAGGCAAACAAAAATTCCTCTATGTACCAACAGAGCCGCTGTGGCAACTGCTTTTTCCTGTCCTTGGCTGGCAAATGCAGGATGAAGTGGTTGGGTCTTGCTGTTATTCTTTCCTCCTTTAAGATAAAAGCTATACACAGGACTCGGCTACCAGTTGAACTTTGAAATTCACAAGACAAGTGAAAGAAGAAAATGCTCTTGTTACCAATCAGAGTGCAATTCGGCAGACTGCACTCCCACCCACACCCACAAAGTGACCTTCCATTGGTGGTAAGAAGAAAAAGCCTATTGTTGAGATGTCTGAATTGTAATTCAAACATCATATTGACATTCTTTCAGTTTGATAGTGGGAAGCTCTTTTAAAGACAATAGCTACAAATGAAAGCCAAGTGCTTTAATTTTAAATGAATGAAAATATTAAATGGTTGGGCTGGTGTGGATCACCACCTGCCGCTGTGACTTATTCTGTCATATACCAGCATCTGACCTGGAGTGTCTTTTCTCTGTATAAAGTTTATGCCATATTCTGTCATTAAAGAATATTATAAGGGGCTGGAGAAATGGCTCAGTAGTTAGAGCACTGACTGCTTTTGCAGAGGACCCAGATTCGAATCCCAGTACCCACATGGTGGCTAACAACCGTCATCCATAACTCCAGTTTCAGGGGATCCAATGGCCTCTTCTGACCTCCATGGGTCCCGCATGGCACGGGTACACTTATATACATGCAGACAATACACTCATACACATAAAATAATAAAAATAAATAAATACAAAATATTTTAAATTTCTATTTTTATCACTGTCATAGCTAAAATAATAACTTTATGGTAGATTAAATTCTACAAACAAACACTTAAATGCTATATCTGGATTTAGGTGTGTTTATTTCCTGAGAGAGGGTCTTGCTGGTCCAGGATGGACTTAAGTTTGTCTTATTTCAGCCTCCTGAGAAGTGGAATCATAGCTATCCACCACCACACTCAACCAGGATGATATTTTGATGCAAAAAAGAAGAAAAAAATGGAAAGAACAAATTTATAGTACTTTAAAACATATCACCTTTCTCTGATACTTGCTTCTAGTTTGAGTAATGTCTGGATAAGTTATAAGATCTTGAAAATTAAAACTCAACTGGTACTAAATATACATGTCATAGTTGAGAAATATGCATTACAAAAAAAAAAGTTGACAGGTCTTGTCAAAGTAACAAAGGGGTGTGAAAGAAATAGCTAATTCCATTTCCCAAAACCTTCCAGTCAGTGAGTAATGCCATTTTTTTAATGTACTTGGTCTCATTTCAACTATATAAGTAATTCTCTAAACCCAGAAGCTATTTACTTAAATGGATGACTAACTTTCCACCTCACCCTAACACAAACAAATGGTCTATTGAATTAGAGAGGCTGTATGGCTTGGCCTTGTGTGGGTCTCATCTGCTCCCATTTGCAGTGAGTGCCAGTGTCTAGTACATTCAAACAGTCATGAGAAGACATCTGAATTTCTTCATCCTGATGGGCTTCCTCTCTCACCTCACCCATATTTGGATGAACTTGCCCTCCAGAGGTGTTTATTCTGAACACCTAACAAAACTGTGCTCCACACCATAAGCTATGCCTGGGATGAACAGGCAGCACATGTGTGGTTATTAAATGTCTATGTTCAAGCAGAGTGGATCCTTGACATTTTCCTGATATCAAATTTAAGAACATATCAATAGCCTGTGGAGGTCTTAACAGCTCTATCTTTATTCTAGGCTAGTAAAGAAAAAAAAAAAAACCTTATACTTTATATTTCGCATGTAATAAGCCCTGAAACTATAACTCAAGGATTATTGATGAGTGGAAGATAGAAACTATCCAATTCAGATATTTTCATGCCATCTATGTCATAACTAATAAAGCAGGAAACAAACTGATCGGTTATAACTGGATTCTTTCCAAGTCTGAGAAATCTATTTAGGGGATTCACAATCAATGACATTGTCAGACCCAGCATGAGAATACCAGAGCATTCTAGGACAAGAAAGACAAACTGATTCAATCCTGGCATTATGACATGAGAGAACTGACACCTGGAGAAATTAACACATAACACACTCAAGCAGGCAGCCCTGGGTTCCTAGCTTCCCAGTGTGGCTTTAACACTACTCTGGTAAGTACATACTCTCTCTGAAAGCATGCTAAGAGCCTGCATTTGTGCTCTGTTCCTGGTGGTGGTACTTGCTCCCTTTCAGGTGCTCCTACTCTAGAAAGGACAGAAGATTGGCCTGTGAGTTCATTATAGAAATAATGTAGCAAGTGACAAAACAAAGCCAGACTGGAGAGAGGCCTGTGAAAAATGAGTTGAGCTTTCTGTGTGACTTGATCAGGCCATTTACAGGTGGCATCAGGTTGGTTTCAGAGGCCCAGTGGCTCCTCATAGACCCCAGGTATGAGTAAGCACAAGGAATGCTATAAAGAAAACAAACAGATGGAGGAAGTCAGGCAGAATTGCAAATAAAAAGCAGGAATGTGAAGGTGCTGAATGAATAGCAGAAGGGCAAAGAGCAAATCTAAGGCTCTGGGGCTCTGGAAGATTCCTGTTCTCTTAATAACAGAAGACAGGCTCCATCATCTATGCCTTTGTGTGAGTCTGTGTTCTCTTTTGCCCCAAGGCCCCATGAAACCAAATCTAAACAGTCCACTGTACAGCTCATCAGAGCATGAAGTAACCAGAAGTTCCCACCAGGATGGTGACAACTCATTAGAAAGAGAGGATGCACTCTGGAGTCAGTTGGACTTGCCTCCCAGGATCAGTTCTCCACTTGCCAATTGTTACTCTGAATTGGTTATTTAATTTCTCTGAGTATAATGTCTTCAAAACTAACATCAATGGACTCAGTCAACCATGTGCTAAGATCCCATATGGGCATCTCTGAGCTAAACACTATCTTCTTCTCACTGTCCATGATGGAGACTATCCTGAGATCCTTGAGTCTACTATTTGGTCTAAACAGAAATATGTTGACATTTTTCTTGTAAACACCTGATCTAGTAAGTTAGTTTCTGAAATTCCTTGATTCTCAAAGGTTTACCCTAGACTCATAAAAAGAAAAAAAAAAAAAAAACAACTATAACAGACAAACATACAAACACAAAGACTCAGGCAAAAATTTCCCATTAGGAATATGAAGACACTTGCCTCATAACACATATACAGAGAAAAGAGTACTATGAAAAAATTGTATGTTATCATCACTTTCTTGAGTTCAAAAGGCTTTCGATTCTCCATGAGCTTTGGTCCAAGAGATGTGACAAAATAGATATAGAGTGCCAGGATGATGGTTTGTGGCAGAGGCGAGGACATGAGGAACCAATCTTCAACTCTTGGATCTAAGAGAAAGACAATAGGTAAGTACATGGTTACTTAGCTCAGAGATAATGGTCAGCAACCTCTGTCTAATTTGACAGTGGACTATGTAGGCAAGGATCACTAGCATCTTCAGGAAGGGTGACAAGCGACATCACCTGGGAGAGTGAAGCAGCCCTGGGCTAGAAACAGTGGGGCTGTCATCACCTATAAGTCTCAAAGGGAGAGAGGTTGTAGTTATCAAAACCTGGAAGGACAGTCATGTAGAAAAGCCTTTCTGGAGAGCCTGTGTCATACACTGAATGTTTGCATCCTCTCAAAACCTGTGTGTTGAGCTGGGTATGGTAGTGCACACATGTAATCCTAGCACTTGGGAAGCAGAGGCAGGAGAATCAGAAGTTCAAGGTTATCCTCAACTACACAGCAAGTTTGAGGCTAGCCAGTCTCAAAAAATAAATAAATAAATAAAATCCATGTGTCAAAAATCTTAACCCCTAATGTGATGAAAGTAGGAGGTGGGTTTTAGAGATCTTAAGAACAGGATCAGTATCATTATAAAAGGGACCATAGGAAGCTCTCCTGCCTTTCTTCTGCCATATAAGAACACAGTGCAAGAAGACAGCAGCCCAGAAGAAAGCCCTCACCAGAACTCCACCATACGGGTACCCTCATCTTTGATCTCAGACTCCATAATTTTACACAGTAAACTTCTGTTGCTTATAAGCCATTTGGTGCATGGTAATGTGTTATAGCAACCTGAATGGAATAAGACAAGCTATGACAGTCAGTTGAGAGATTTGGCCAACTCAAGAGGTAATGGCCTCACAACCATATAAGCATAGACTCCCCAAGTTCTTGCTGGCTCCAGCCTGAGCAGGTTTCTAGCAGTTAAAAACTATAATTAAAAAGGCTGGAGAGATTGCTCAGCAGTTAGAGCACTGATACTCTTTCAGGAGATCTGAGTTCGGTTTGGGTTTGGTTCCCAGCATCCATGTGGTAACTAATATGACTCCCTATTTTGGCCTCTGTGGGCATTATATGACACTAGTGCATTACACACATGCAGACAAAACACTCATACACATAAAAATAAAATAAATAAATAAAAATTAGATATAAGTGTATCTCTCACCACTCATCAAAGAAGCCTCTTTTTGCAACAGATGGAGACTATTACAAATTTCCACAACTAGACGAATGCAGAAAATAAGTGACTGTGAGGAGCCCAGCCTGAAGTGATACATCTACAATGCAACCTCTCCACTTAAGCTCAGGGAACATCATGGAAGAATGAGCAGAAAGAATGTAAGAGTCAGAGGGACAAGATACCTGCTGCTCATTTATGCATTCTAGACATGATAGGGATGCTCCACCAATGAAATCTCCACAGTATAGTGGTCTACCAAGATCTGCATATAATAACAAAACCAGTTGTCATACCAAGGTAGATGGGGAAATTTCAAGGGGCCCCGCCTCAAGATGAAGAGCTACAGATAATCAATGTATTCTGAGGGAGGGAGAATCAGTTTTCTCCAGGGACTAGCTCCCTGAGAGGCTATCTAATCCCAACCCTAAACACAGGTACATATAAGCACCAATAAATGGACTCAGTGCATTACACACACACACACACACAATAATAATAATCGAAAAAGAGGACAAGAAATTGAAAGGGAGGGGAGTATGGAAAGTGTTGGAAGGGGACTGGGAGGGAACTACAATACTCGTGAATGAAATTCTCAAAAATAAAGTTTTAAAATTTCAAGCACTTTGGATGTAATTTTATCAATATGGCTCATGAAGCCAGAGCAGTATGAAGGGAAATAACTATGGACAAGCTTCCAGGTACATCTCACTGAAAACTGAGTCTTGACTAAGCTTGAAATAAAGCATCATCTTTAACACCAGGAAAAGAAGAGGGGCATGCACTCCTTGTTCATTTAAACCACTGATGATAAAAACCAGTTACCAGCAAACACAGCATTCCTGCAAGTCTGACTTCTCACTCCAAACTTCAGTAGAACCCCATGTCTGATCACTCGCTCAGCCTCACTTTACATTCAGCAGTTGGTTGTCCAGGCTGTAACAATGACTAATTCAAGTGGACCTTGCTCAAAAGTATCAGCAAATACCCTTGTCTCAAACAAACCCATAAAGCTAGGAAGTAAACAGTTAACTCAAAGTAGATCCCAGATGTTTAGAAATTTGAGTTTGTTCTTTATCTTATATCTACATAAGCATGACCCAACTATGCAATGAGGACAAAGACTCCCCAAAAGTGGCAAGAGACTCCTGGAAGGCTAAGATGGGAAACTTGCTGCATGGTTTCTTAGGGTTCCGTGTTCAGTGTGGACTGATAAAATAGGAATGGTGGTATGCAGCACAGTCCAAGTGTATTTGGTCACAGAACCTTGATCAACAGAACTCAATTAAACATCTTATAGAAATAATGCTTTGAGTAACAGTTTGGGAAATATAGCCATTTGCTAAAATAGGTTTATAAGTTAAACTATTAGTGATTTGATAGTGATAAAAGATAGACAAGAGCAGATTGTTTTGAGATGTAAGGAATAAAATACAAAATTATAACTGGTTAAACAGAGAATGAAACATAAGCAGAAGTTAATAAAAATGTTATGAATTTTTTGTTTATATAAGTATACCATCACTTAGACTGGGAACAGAGAGTAAGGCACAAGAATAGTCAAGGAGGGACAGCTTACAGTTCAGAGCATCTTACATTTCTAGTGCCTATAAACACTCATACAGACACTTTCAGAGCTGTTGGATATAAGCATCTGAGATTAGGAGTGATATCGGATCCTGAATTGGAGGTTTTGAGGGTTGTCATCACATAAACAGAGAAGCAGGTGGAGCAAGGAAAGCAAGTGCTAAGGTTAGAGCTCAGTAGTCACAAGAGAGGGAGAAAAGAAAACCATGTAGAAGGCCAGGACGGCTAGGGAGGTAGGAGGACAATCATCAAGTCGAATATCCAGAAGCCACAGAAGATGAAGCTTAGGGTGACCAAGCATCAATTGTTGCAAAGAGGGAAATTAACATGGAGACAGAAAGGAGCCATTAGATTTAACAAATGGAAGACAAAAAGATATTCTTAAGAACAATTTTAGTAAAATGTCATGCACAAAATAGAAATCAACAAAAGTTTGCTGGCAAACATTCTTAAAAGCAGGAAGTTCTAAAAGTTGAAAGTATCTTCTCACATCAAGACTTGTCATTTTTAAATCTAGAAAGGTTCTGAAAATGGCTATCCAGGTGTATGTAACTACAATATTTATTGCTTTGATTAGTTCTTCTCTTTCCTTATAACAATGCAAGTTTCCTGGGATCAGATTTATGGTTATCATACACAATTACAAGGTGGACCTGAAGATTCTGAGGGAAGTCTCAGTTAACAAAAGTTACAGAACTGGGAACCAAGGCATAGAATTAGCACTGATCAAACGTCAATGAATTCATTCCATCAGTGGTCAATATAAACCTTAAATACATGAATATCATATATTCAATGTCTAGCTTTTTATTATTTTACTGCTATGTCCAGTTTTCATTCCTAATGAAATAAAGACTAATGAAACCTGCACCAAATGAAGACCCTGGAGGGACAAAGATGCTACCTCTCTACCTTGCATGGTGCGGTGTGAGGGATGCTGCATGTCCACTTGTGCATGGTGCGGTGTGAGGGATGCTGCATGTCCACTTGTGCATGGTGCGGTGTGAGGGATGCTGCATGTCCACTTGTGCATGGTGCGGTGTGAGGGATGCTGCATCTCTACCTGTGCATGGTGCGGTGTGAAGGATGCTGCATCTCTACCTGTGCATGGTGCAGTGTGAGGGATGCTGCATGTCCACTTGTGCATGGTGCGGTGTGAAGGATGCTGCATCTCTACCTGTGCATGGTTAGGGTGTGGTAAACTTTTGGTTTCTTCTTTTTAGGCAATTTCAATTTTTTTTTTTTTTGGTCTTTTTGAAACAGAGGGTCTCTCTATAGCCCCAGCTGACCTGGAACTCACTATGTAGACCAGGTTGGCCTTGAACTCACAGAGATCCGCCTGCCTCTGCCTCCCAAGTGCTGGGACTACAGGCGTGTGCCACTACATCCAGCCAAAGCCCTGTCAAATCTTACTAATAGTCAAGTGTCAGTTAAGGAATTCCTTAATCAGGGATGTATTTTATTTTATTTCATTGACTTGGCAGGGGAAGCAAAATTGAATGATATCTTTTTGTTTCTCCTCTCTTCATAAGAGAAAACAAGCCAAGAAAAGCACACTGGGCTGGCTCAGGAAGAAGAAAAATCATTTTCAAATAAACCACTTTTTCCTGTAATTTAACATTTTCAGCACACATCTTTTCTTAAAATACTGTGTATATGGGGCTGGAGAGATGGCTCAGCAGTTAAGAACACTGGCTGTTCTTGCAGAAGACCCAGGTTCAAATACCAGCACCCACATGGCAGCTAACAACTGTCCGAAACTCCAGTTCCAGGAGATCCGACAGCCTCTTCTGTCCTCCGTGGGCATTGCACAACACGGGTGCCCTTACCTACATGCACATAATATAAAAATAATAAAATATTTTTAAAAATCCCGTGTATATGACTCTCAATTTCTACAGATAAAAATTATTGAGAAAGTTCATTTATTTCATTGCATGTTATTTTGAAATAAGAAAACAAAATACTAAGCTTTTTAATTTTTACATCCATGTGTCTGCATACAGAAGAACATGGACTTGTGTGTGTATGTGGAAGCCAGAGGTCAAACTTGAGTGCTGTTCACTAGGAAAGACCCACCGTGTTCTTTTGAGGTGAGCTCTCTCATTAGGAGCCTTTTGATTTGGCTAAACTGGCCAGCCAACAAGCACCAGAGGCCCCAGTCTGTGCCTCCTCAGACCTGGGATTATAAGTGTGTGCCACCATGCCAGGCTTTTTACATGGCTGTTGGGGATTGGACAAAGGTTCTCATGGTTGCACAGCAAACACTTATAACTAATCTATCTCCTCACT